AAAGAAAGAAAGGGAAGAAAGAAAGAAAGGGAAGAAAGAAAGAAAGAGAAGAAGAAAGAAAGGAAAGAGAAGAAAGAAGAAAGAAAAAAGAAAGAAAGAAGAAAGAAAGAAAGAAAAAGAAAGAAAGAAAGAAAAAGAAAGAAAGAAAGAAAGAAAAAAAGAAAAGAAAAAAAGAAAAAAAAGAAAGAAAGAAGAAAAAAGAAAGAAAGAGAAAAAAAAAGAAAAGAAAGAAAGAAAGAGAAAGAAGAAAGAAAGAAAAGAAAGAAAGAAAGAAAGAAAGAAAAAAGAAAGAAAGAAAGAAAGAGAAAAAAGAAAGAAAAGAAAGAAAGAAAGAAAGAGAAAGAAAGAAAGAAAGAGAAAGAAAAAGAAAAGAGGTATAAGCCCTCTTGAATTTGCTTCTCCTGAATAGGCATAGTCAACCGTTGGGGCCATGTTTTCTGTTACACCCATATTTAGAGTGTAAACGGATACATAGATGCATTTCCCATTGTACATACATTGATTGAGGAGAGTGAGTGCACTAGAACAGGATTTTGCTTTAGATACTATAGTGACAGAAGATGTTAGATACGTCTAAGCAATGCAATCCCTTTTGCCTTTTAGGACTTCCACATACAAGACATTCATGCTCTCACCTCGATGGCCATACTGAGCACCCCCCCTCGATTCTTTCAGATGTCTTGAACCTCTTCGGGTTGCGCTCTGAAGCGGACAGGACTCTTTGCACAAACTCTTTGTTATGGAGCGCCTCAGCCCAGACGGGACCTCCCACCTGCAACAAATTGACCACAAGATCAGTCACCAAGGCATTAAGGCAAGGTTTACACCTATGCAGGTTGCATTTGAGCCATTTCTGCATTGTGTTTTTGCACCTGAATTTTTGGTTCTATAGACTTCAATGGAAACGCTGCAGAAAAGCATGTAGTGTGTTTTTGATGCATTTTTTTTTATTTTTCTTGTTGCTAGGCAGATTTAAAAACACAAAACACATCAAAAATGCACTACATGCTTTTCTGCAGCATTTCCATTTTAGTCTATAGAACCAAAAATGCTACTTTTTGCATTCAAAAAAGTCCCCAACCCTTTCCAAAAAGCGCACCGGGTGAAAATGCGCAGATGTGAACCTCTCACATAGGAAATCGTGTTAAATGGACTGTACTGCGTTTCTGCAAAACGCTGCGGAAAATGCTTAGGTGTGAACCTGGGGTAAGATCACCACCCTCATTACAATCTAATTGTGTAATCTCCTTCTGATCTACCGACAACTATGGAATACAGGTAAGGTTATTGCTATCAAATGGATGACCCCTCCTTCCCTTTCCCCAATGTATCTCAGTGGAAACTGTTAAATCATGTTATGCCATATGTCAGTGGTCTCCAAACTGTGGCCCGTGGGCTGGATGTGACCCTTTGCTTGTCTTTTTTGGCCCATGGGGCACCACTTCTCCCACTGATACAAGACACTATTCCTCCCTCTGACACCAACACTAAGGCATAATTCCTGCCACTGACACCATCAATGGGGTGCTATTTCTCACACCGATAGCAACAATGGGGCATGATTCTTCCCACTGACACCAGCAATAGTTCCCACTATCCCAAGTAGAAATGATCTCCATAAATGTAATAAAATATGATGCTTATGGTGTGAACCTGATCTTACACTCTGCAGTGCAAGGGCCTGCCTGATTGGATACAAATTGAAAAGATCGTTTCCGTAGGTCCTTGTATTAGTGTAAAAGCAGACTGTATAACTAGAAAAGCTACAATTTGTGGGGAAATTGTGTTAAGTGTTCTTTCCTCCACCAGTAGTCTACAACTGGAGTGGGCGGAGTAACTGGGTGGAGTGGCTGGAGTAACTGGGTGGAGTGGCTGGAGTAACTGGGTGGAGTGGCTGGAGTAACTGGGTGGAGTGGCTGGAGTAACTGGGTGGAGTGGCTGGAGTAACTGGGTGGAGTGGTTGGAGTAACTGGGTGGAGTGGTTGGAGTAACTGGGTGGAGTGGTTGGAGTAACTGGGTGGAGTGGTTGGAGTAACTGTTGTGTGGTTGGAGTAACTGTTGTGTGGCCGGATTAACTGTTGCGTGGTTGGAGTGGCCGGATTAACTGTTGCGTGGTTGGAGTGGCCGGATTAACTGTTGCGTGGTTGGAGTGGCCGGATTAACTGTTGCGTGGTTGGAGTGGCCGGATTAACTGTTGCGTGGTTGGAGTGGCCGGATTAACTGTTGCGTGGTTGGAGTGGCCGGATTAACTGTTGCGTGGTTGGAGTGGCCGGATTAACTGTTGCGTGGTTGGAGTGGCCGGAGTAACTGTTGCGTGGTTGGAGTGGCCGGAGTAACTGTTGCGTGGTTGGAGTGGCCGGAGTAACTGTTGGAGTGGCCGGAGTAACTGTTGGAGTGGCCGGAGTAACTGTTGGAGTGGCCGGAGTAACTGTTGGAGTGGCCGGAGTAACTGTTGGAGTGGCCGGAGTAACTGTTGGAGTGGCCGGAGTAACTGTTGGAGTGGCCGGAGTAACTGTTGGAGTGGCCGGAGTAACTGTTGCGTGGTTGGAGTGGCTGGAGTAACTGTGAAAAGGTCAATGGGCAGCGTGAGTTGCAAACAAATGGTCATATTGTGAAAACGATCAGGATTATGGCTTAGCCGTTTTGTAGTGGCAGCGGGGATAGCTGAACGTTTGATATAAGATTTGTGTAGTTGGGCTTGAAAATGAGGGAGTGATGGCAGTTTAGAAATCATGTCCTGATTTTTCAGCTCCCACTCTAGTTTTGAACATTGCGCCATTCATTCCTATGGGACCAATTTCACCACAAAAACTCAGATATTTTGTGAACCATTCGGCGAAACGTTTCACAAAGTAATAGCACACCAATCGGGAACAATCCACACGTTTCGGTATATTACTGTCTATGTCGTGTAAAAACTGTGGGAGGAGTTAGGGTTATAAATTTGCCATGCAAGAACACTTGAATATTGTAGATCCCATTAACATGTATTGTGAGCATTAGACAGATGTAAATATATGAACACAGAGCACATGGATAAAGCAGTACCTGATGTCGCTGCTGGCAAAACTCACAGTTCATTCCCACAGGAGGGCCACAGCCAGCCGAATACTTCATGCTGTTGGAAGAAGAAGACTTTATTGAAGAGAAAGCTCCAACCAAAAACAAAAGAAAAAGTTTACCAAGAGAGACCAGCGTCTAGCTAAAAAGAATTAATTAAAAACAGCTCAGGGTGTTACACTAGCACTCCCCTGGAAGCTACCTCACAGACTGTTACATCAGTCCAGTAAAAAGGCAAGAATGCATTGGTAAAATGTGTACCTAAACCCAAATGTTTATTTTCAGTTTTGGATGGAGCGGTGAGAGATTCACCTTTTTTGCCCTGGGACTATTGTCATCGGGACAGAAAGGTTCAGCAGACACCAAAATGAGAGGTGAGGGTACATCTTCAAATCTTCTAGTAACAACTATCTACGAAGAGTGTCAGGCTCAACTGTGCCATGTTTCAGTACCGGCTTTAATTCCCTGTACAAGGCTTTTGGCTCTGTCCTAATGGGCCAGCGCATGTCTTCCCCGGCATTCAAGGAAGAGGTCACCAAGACCCAAGCATGTTCCCAGTGTTCCTGACTCCAGCAATTCTCAGCGACTTCTGGTTACAAACTGAAGAGCATAGAAAATCACACAGGTGTTGGCATCCAAGTTGCTGGCTGGAACACACAGGCAATCACACAGATTGTGTGATTGCCTGTGTGTTCCAGCCAGCAACTTGGATGCCAGCACCTGTGTGATTTTCTATGCTCTTCAGTTTGTAACCAGAGTACCTGTGGCTTCCTTGTGCTCAATGGTCAGCATCCAGTCTTCACTTCTTTGTCTCCTGTACACGTCTTCCTATGGCCAGTATACCCAGTGTTACAAGAGTCTTGTAACTATTACTCCTAGTGAGCTCAGCACTCCAGTGCTGCAATAGACTTTCTTCCATGTACTGTCTGTACTCAGTCTCCAGTAGCAGCCTGCATTGGCGGGTCTGAAGAGCACAACTTAGGAGTCAGTAGCAGCCATTACAAGGTGCTCTGGTGAAGACCAGGTGGCTCCTTAAACCCTGGATACGCTGAGCCCATTTCTTTCAGTACCATAGGGTATCCAGTCGCCACACTATCTTTTGCCATGTCTCTCTGATACGGTTTGATATGTTTTCTTTATGGTTTGGCCTGAATATTTGATATAGTATTTTCTTTTCATTTAAAAAAATAATGTGTGTTTGTTGAAAAATTCTGGTGCCGAAATCGAAAATTAACCGAAATGCGCAGTTTTTTAAAAATGAATATATATTTTTTGGGAAAAAAAAATACACTTTGATTTAAAAAAACAAAAAACAAAAAAAAAAACACAACAAAATAATATATATCCCAATTTTTTTGTAAAATATAAAAGAGGATTTTACACGAGTAAATAGATACCCCACATGTCGCGCTTTAAAATTGTGCACGCTCGTGGAATGGCGTGAAACTGCGATACTTAATCTCCATGGGTGATGCTTTAAAAATGTCTACAGGTTAGCAGTGTAGAGTTACAGAGGAGGTCTAATGCAAAAATTATTGCTCTTGCTCTGACGTTTGTGGCAATACCTCACTTGTGTGGTTTAAACACCATTTACATATGTGCGAGCACGAGGGGGCGGGGCACTTTAAACTTTTTTTTTTAATTTATGTATTTATTTATTTTTTGCAGTGTCCCTTTAAAAAAAAAATGTAATCACTTTTATTCTTATCAAAAGGAAGGCATGCATCCCTTGTGATAGAAATAATTAGTGACAGGTCCTCTTTATTGAGAGATATGGGGGTCAATAAGACCCCACATTTCTCCTCTGAAATATAAAGCACCTGATCAAAAAAAAAAAAAAAAAAAAAAGGAAGAAGAGAGGATTGATCTAGTGCTTTAAAAAAGAAAAATTGGCCAAAACCGTTAGTGACGTTGCTCTGGTCCTCCAAGGGCATAGAGATGAGTGGAGGCCATTTTTCCTTCACTAATCTCTATGCCCAGCGCTGGGATCGTTCGATGGTTTCTCAGATAAGGCAGAGAACTACCGAGCGGCTGGCTTTTTTTCGGTACCTGTATCGGTGCTTTTTTTTTCATATTGGCTGACGTCCGAAAGGGGTGTTTACGGCCGAAAAGTATTGGCCACCGAAATTTCAATGCATCGCTAATAAAAATATATATAATTTGTTTTTCTTTTTATTTAAAGCTGTATTAAACTCAAAAGCAAACATGCATTTAAGTGCAGCTTACCAGCTCTTAGATTTGATGGCTGCATCATTTTCTATTTCAGACTTTCTTTCCTTTATTTTCACTTGGTGATCCTGCCAGTAAGTCTGTTGTTTTTCAACAGGACAAGCATGCTTAAGACCAGGGGTCTCCAAACTTTCTTAACAAAGGGCCGTTTTCCTGTCTCAGACCTTAAGAAGCCCGAACTACGCCCAGTGGAAGTAAACAATGCCCCATCTTTGGTGTCAGTGGGAGGAATAATGTCCCATTGTAGGTGTCATTGGAAGGAATTCTATCCCATTGTTGGTGTCAGTGGAAGGAATTCTATCCCATTGTTGGTGTCAGTGGAAGGAATTCTATCCCATTGTTGGTGTCAGTGGAAGGAATTCTATCCCATTGTTGGTGTCAGTGGAAGGAATTCTATCCCATTGTTGGTGTCAGTGGAAGGAATTCTATCCCATTGTTGGTGTCAGTGGGAGAAATACTGCCCTGTTGTTGGTGTCATTGGCAGAAATTATGTCCCACTGTTGTGTCAGTGGCAGGAATAATACCTTGAGGGCATTACCAATGGGCTGCAGCCGGTCCCTTGGCCGCAGTTTGAAGACCACTGCTCTAGACTGTACATAGTAACCACTTCACAACCAGGACAATTGTGACACTCATCTCATACACCTAAAAATATGCATTTTTTGCTAGAAAAATTACTTAGAACCCACAAAACAAGCAGAGGCCATAGAGAATAAAATAATGGGCGTTGCCATGTTTTATCTGGCATGATAGTGAACACAAACAGGGGCGGACTGACAACTCATGGGGCCCCCGGGCAATAGGGGATCATGAGGCCCCTGTGTCCTTGCCCAAACTCAAAAAAGCCTATGAAAAAGGTACCAGGGGCATCTCATGGGGCCCCCCTACTGACCGTGAGCCCTCGGGCAGTGCCTGAGTTTCCAAATGGTCAGTCCGCCCCCTGAACACAAACACAACATAATACCCAATTTTGCACACACTTTAGGAGTGGCAACAAAACTACGGTAAATAAATTCATGGGCAACGTTTTAAAAAAACCTTTACAGGTTACCAGTTTAGCGTGACACAGGAGGTCTGGTGCTAGAATTATTGCTCTCACTCTGACTCGCAGCAATACCTCACGTGTGATGCGATTTCCATTTACATACGCATGTGGGACCTACATGCGCATTTGCACTTGCAGGCGGTTTTCATGGCTGCTTTACAAACTGATAACTGCTTGTAAACAAACAAACCAAAACAAGGTGAAAAAATTCTCCTCGCTTACAGTTTGTGATGTCACAGAAGGAACTTCACAGTGAGTGTGATCAGAGTGGTTGTATTGGTACCAGAGCAAATAAAATGGTGCTGCGCTAATATCAATAGTACTAAGGACACAATCATTCGAAGAGTGGGGAGACAGAAAAAATAACCCCAAAACAGAGGTGATAAGTATAAAGGCCTGGATCCAGAGAGAGAGGGGGGGGGGGAGAGAGAGAGAGAGGAGGGGGAGGAGAGAGAGAGAGAGGAGGGGGAGGAGAGAGAGAGAGGAGGGGGGGGGAGAGAGAGAGAGGAGGGGGGGAGAGAGAGAGAGGAGGGGGGGAGAGAGAGAGGGGGAGAGAGAGCGGAGGGGGAGAGAGAGAGAGCGGCGGAGGGGGAGAGAGAGAGAGCGGAGGGGGAGAGAGAGAGAGAGAGCGGAGGGGAGAGAGAGAGAGAGCGGAGGGGGGAGAGAGAGAGAGCGGAGAGGGAGAGAGAGAGAGAGAGCGGAGGGGGAGAGAGCGGAGGGGGAGAGAGCGGAGGGGGAGAGGAGAGAGAGAGAGAGAGGGGAGGGGGAGAGAGAGAGAGAGAGGAGGGGGAGAGAGAGAGAGGGGGGAGGGGGGGAGAGAGAGAGAGAGAGAGGAGGGGGAGAGGGGGGAGGGGGGGAGAGAGAGGAGCGGGAGGGAGAGAGAGAGAGAGAGGAGCGGGAGAGAGAGAGAGAGGAGGGAGGGGAGAGAGAGAGGAGGGAGGGAGAGAGAGAGGAGGGAGGGAGAGAGAGAGAGAAAGGAGGGGGGGGGGAGAGAGAGAGAGAAAGGAGGGGGGAGAGAGAGAGAGAAAGGAGGGGGGAGAGAGAGAGAGAAAGGAGGGGGGAGAGAGAGAGAGAGAAAGGAGGGGGGAGAGAGAGAGAGAGAAAGGAGGGGGGAGAGAGAGAGAGAAAGGAGGGGGGAGAGAGAGAGAGAAAGGAGGGGGAGAGAGAGAGAGAGAAGGAAGGAGGGGGGAGAGAGAGAGAGAGAGAAAGGAGGGGGGAGAGAGAGAGGGGAGGGGGAGAGGGGAGGGGGAGAGGGGAGGGGGAGAGAGAGAGGGGGGAGGGGGAGAGAGAGGGGGGAGGGGGAGAGAGAGAGGGGAGGGGGGAGAGAGAGAGAGTGGAGGGGGAGAGAGAGAGAGGGAGGGGGGAGAGAGAGAGAGGAGGGGGAGAGAGAGGAGGGGGAGAGAGAGAGGAGGGGGAGAGAGAGAGGAGGGGGGGGGAGAGAGAGAGAGGAGGGGGGGAGAGAGAGGGGGGGGAAGGGGGAGAGAGAGAGGGGGGAAGGGGGAGAGAGAGAGAGGGGGGAAGGGGGAGAGAGAGAGAGGGGGGGAAGGGGGAGAGAGAGAGGGGGGGAAGGGGGAGAGAGAGAGGGGGGGAAGGGGAGAGAGAGAGGGGGAAGGGGGAGAGAGGGGGGAAGGGGGTGAGAGAGAGAGAGAGGGGAAGGGGGGAGAGAGAGAGAGGGAAGGGGGAGAGAGAGAGAGGGAAGGGGGAGAGAGAGAGAGGGAAGGGGGAGAGAGAGAGAGAGGGGGGGGAGAGAGAGGAGGGGAGAGAGGGGAGGAGGGGAGAGGGAGGAAGGGGGGAGAGAAAGGAGGGGAGAGAGAAAGAGAGGGAGATCGATCATCTATTGCACTTATCTAGGGTCCGTGGCCGTGATACCCGACATGCATCGGATATGGAGTCTCCTCTCTTGCTCCCCCTCTTCATGGTCAGCTCTAGGCTCCGCCCTCCGGCTGTGACGGTTGCATGCACTGATCAGAATAGATGGCCGGCTGGCTGCAGAGAGGCCAGGTGAGTGGTGCGGGTTCATAAGCCAAGCTCACCTTCTCCTGTTCTAGAATCGCTGACCCTGCCCTCCTGCCTCCCGCCCGAGCCCTGCCGAGCTCTCCCGATCTGCCAAACCCTAGTCTCTTGTCTCACGGCAGATACGCCTCTGCCCGGCGGGCCGGATAAATGTCCTCGGCGGGCCGCATGTGGCCCGTGGGCCGTAGTTTGAGGACCCCTGCTTTAAGGGTTTCACAAGCAGGGAGCGGGGTTTAGGGTCATGTGACCGCTGTGACACGCCGTCACATGATTGGGAAAGGTCCCAATCGAAAGAGGAGATCGGTACCTTTCCATGAGTACCGGACATGTGTGCTGGGAGCCGTCACATGATTGGGAAAGGTCCCAATCGAAAGAGGAGATCGGTACCTTTCCATGAGTACCGGACATGTGTGCTGGGAGCACGCAGGGCGTGCGCTCTCAGCACATATGTCTTTTTTTAATAGATCGCAAATGTGTGGCCACTCGGCGTCTAGGCCCAGACGCCGGGAGGCCGCACATTTGCGTTCGGCTGGCGTGAAGAGATTAATACCGTTTTAACCAATAGGTTTTTAATTGTTTTGTAAATTTTTTTGTGCAATAAAAATAATTTATTGTATAATTATATTTCTTTTGTATCCTTTAGATCATCCCCAGTGGGGGTATAATTTTCTAATGAAAATTGTGGGAGTGGAGGATCTGTCACACTTCTTCGGATTATTACAGCTTGTACAAACCTTAGCCTCATTCTTGAAGTGATTACTATACAAATCTTCACAGATGAAAGGAGAAGAGAACTCACTTGTTTCCATGGGCAATGGCTCTACCCATACGCTGCAAATGGAATGTTCCACACCCCACGCAGTTGTACACCAGGGCTTGTTTGCTATGCAGAAAAAACAGGGAGGATGCAATCACATTTCATAGACTAGAACAAAACCTCCTAGTGCAGTCTGTATACAGTGAAATCGATCGGCTCACCTGGCAGACATCTTTACCTTGGCCTGACCTGTGAAGACTCGCACAAACACGCGGATGTAGAAATCGGCAGAGATGCTGATCAGGGGGACTATATAACGTTGGTAACAGTTGGAGCGCAGGTCCAAGGTGTGCAACAGGATGCGCAGAGCCTGAAGAAGAGGAGACCGGCCTCATTCAACAAAAAGGTCTTATACAAAGATGTGTTCCTGCTAACATCCAATCAGAGGCTCCCTTTGTTTTTCTAACCGGTTTCATACACAGGAAAGGAAGAATCTGATTGGCCCACATAGGCATTATACATGGTTCTTCTGTCAAGACACTTTATACAGAAAGCCCATGCTTATTTATCAAAAAACAGCAATGAAAAGGATGAGCACAGCGACCAGAGAGTTCAGGCTGCATGCATTTCAGGAAATGGAGTTGTCACTAGCAATCAGATACTCACTTTCACTGTCTAGACTGCACTCCAAAACTCCAGACAAATGTCATAATCCCAATATCTCATCTATATGCCCTACATTAAAGCGGAGCTCCACCCAAAAGGGGAAGTTCCGCTTTAAGGACAGCTGCCCCGTTCCCCATTAAGGATTGGCACCTTTGGGGGGCGGGGAGCGGGTAACTAAATTTTCCGGTCTGATCGCCTAGGCGATCGGAAACAGAAGGTGTCCTTCCTCCCTGTAGTCTTTTGGGACACGCGACAGGTCCCAGAAGACTACAGGACCATTCATAAAGCGCAGCGCTACTCGCACATGCGCAGTGGGCACCCGGCTGTGAAGCCGCAAGCTATCACAGCCGGGTGCACACACTGAAGATGCCGGCCTCCTGGAATACAGGACGGCTAGTGAAACAGGCTGCGGGTGACACACCACAGGACCGAGGGACAGGTAAGGGACTGTTTTTTAAAAGTCAGCAGCTACAGTTTTCATACGACTTTTCTTACAAATATTCTCGGCCGAAAATTTAGACGTGTATGGCCTGCATATGGCTGGCCGTACACGTGAAGACTTTCGAGCGAGAATATTAGTTTCAAGAATATTCGTTTGGTTTTTCTAATCGTTAGTGGGGTCAAATCGATGTTTGATTTTGACAGCAGTAACAGAAAAATTTGAAGGGAAAGGAAGGCGAACGTTTCTCGATCAAACGACTTTTCGGCCAGTGTATGTGGTTACATTCATTCAAAAATTGTCTTTTGCGTTTAACATTCGATTTTAAAATGAATGTAACCACATACACTGGCCGAAAATTAGTTTGATCGAGAAAAGTTTTCCTTCCTTTCCCTTCAAATTTTTATGTTTGATTTGGACAGCAGTGACAGAAAAATTTGAAGGGAAAGGAAGGAAAACTTTTCTCGATCAAACAAATTTTCGGCCAGTGTATGTGGTTACATTCATTTTAAAATCGAATGTTAAAAGCAAAAGACAATTTTTGAATGAATGTAACCACATACACTGGCCGAAAAGTCGTTTGATCGAGAAACGTTCGCCTTCCTTTCCCTTCAATTTTTTTTCTGTTACTGCTGTCAAAATCAAACATCGATGTGACCCCACTAACGATTAGAAAAATGAAACGAATATTCTTGAAACTAATATTCCCGACCGAAAGTCTTCACGTGTACGGCCAGCCGTATGCTGGCCATGCACTTGTAAATTTTCGGCCGAGAAGATTTGTAAGAAAGGTCGTATGAAAATTCTTTGCACATTGAATGAATGGACGAATGTTGTTCAAAAATTGTCTTTTGCTTTTACATTCGATTTTAAAATGAATGTAACCACATACACTGGCCGAAAATTCATTTGATTGAGAAACATTTTCCTTCCTTTCCCTTCGAATTTTTCTGTCACTGCTGTCAAAAACAAACAATGATTTGACCCCACTAACGATTAGAAAATCAAACAAATATTTTTGAAACGCATATTCTTGGCCAAAAATCTACACCTGTATGGCAAGCCTAATGCAGGCCATAGAAGGGTCGAAAATCGGCCGATTTTTCGGCCGAAAAAAAAGCCTGACGATTTTCGCACCGTTAATGGGTTAATTGGTCGGCCGTTTTTCGGGGTTTTGGCACATTTTTTTTATCAGTGAAGTAGGAAAAAAATTGGCCGATTTTCCTGGCAGTGATGGGCAAATCGGCCGATCTTCTTACCGATAAAAAAATCAGCGCATGAGCCGTGGCGAAAAAAAAAAGGAGAAGGAGGAGGAGAAGAATTCCAGTCCACGATTATATTTGACATGAAAAAGTATTGCGGTTGCAACAATGTATCTGTTTGTATCCAAATAAAAAAAAAATCTGTATCCGAAATGGATACAAATAGATACAATGTTGCAACCGCAATACTTTTTAATGTCAAATATAATAGCGGAGCTCTCTGCAGGGACAGAAGTAATTAAATGCCGGCCGTAGACGGGACGAAAATCGGCCGATTTTTTTTACCGTTGGTGGTAACGTCAGCCTATTGAACAACCGATTTTTCGTGTTTTTTTTTTTTTTTTTTTTAAACGATTGGTTTTCGACCTGTCTATGGCCTGCATTACTCTTGGAACTGAGACCCCTCCACACCAAATCATGGCACCCATCAAATGGATGACTACAGCAGAAATTGGCTGAAGTTCTGATTCCCTAATAATGCCTTCCTGCTGACTAAGCAATGATGGAGCAGCACACTGATGACATCATCCCTGTGCACTACCCTCCTGCAAGCGCAGAGAAAAGTAAGAGAAACCCAGCTGGTTCAGGTTTCTGACCCCCCTTTCTCGTAGTGCTCGTTCAAGAAAAAAATAGGGTGCGAATATAAAGATGGATTAGGGTACCTGTGCTGGCTTTACAAAAATAATAATAATTTAATAAACAAGTAACTGGATCATTACTTTTTTTTAAATAGAACTCTGTAATTTCAAGTAACAAAAACAACAAACAGAATGTGTCTCTACAGGGAACAAAGCTGTTCTGTTGGCAGACTGATGATTGAACGGACTGTGTTGATGGGGGAAATTGAGCAATTTTCTTTCCTTCCACCCATGGCAGAGGAAGGAAAAAAGAAATCAGGTCATCTATAGGCTGCTTAGGGTAAAGTCCCACTATATTCACTAAATCACTCAGCAGGTTACCTGCCCTCCCACTAACATAACTTACCATTTCATGACAGAACTTGGACTTCAAGGACATGGCTCCATATTTCCCGTAACACGTCTCACCATTATTTCCTGCTAGCACAGCCATATCAGTGCAGGTCACACACAACAGCCCTGCAGGATAAAGTGGGGGTGAGGTTTTTGGTTTAACTGAAAAGGTAGAGGAGACAATCTGACCATGGTCAAGTCAATAAGGCCAAAAGGTAGTAGCACAGAGTGACCCAGCTCTTTCTTAAAAAAATTTATATCAATATCAATATCAAAATTAACCCTGGTACGGGACATCCCTTCTCTGTTACTATTCAACAGTCACAATGGGGTTTATTTACTAAAGCTGGAGAGTCCAAAATCAGACTCCCTTCTGCATAGAAACCAATCAGCTTCTAACCTCAGCTTGTTCAATGAAGCTTTGGCAATGAAACCTGGAAGCTGATTGGTTTCTATGCAGAAGGGAGTCTGATTTTGCACTCTCCAGCTTTAGTAAATAAACCCCATAGTGACACAGTAGGGGTTGTTTTTTGTTTTTTTTATTAAGTACACAATTATTGTAATGTCTTACTCAAATGTTCATGATCACAATCTGTATATTAACATTATGACTAGCTGGGCCTCATTCCTACAGGACTTTAATTCAACCACTTGCCTACCGGGCACTTTCACCCCCTTCCTGCCAAGGCCAATTTTCAGCTCTGTCGCACTTTGAATGACTATTGCGCGGTCATGCAACACTGTACCCAAACAATTTTTCTAAAAAATATTTTTAGACATATAGAATTTTCTTTTGGTGGTATTTAATCACCACTGGGTTGTTTAGGTTTTTTTTTTTAATAAACAAGTGCAAAAAGGCTGAAAACTTTTTTGGGGATAAAAAAAAAATAAAAAACATCTTGGTTTCTGCTATAAAGTTTTGTAAATAAGTAATTTTTCTCTTTCATTGATGTGCGCTGATGAGGCGGCACTGATGAGAAGGCACTGACGGGCATTGACAGGCATCACTGATGGGCAGCAATGATGGGCACTGATTGGCACCGATGGGTACTAACAGACTGCACTGATGAGGAAGCACTGATGGGCATTGACAGGCATCATTGATGGACACTGACAGGAATCACCGATAGGCGGCAATGATAGGCAGCACTGATTGGCACCGATGGGTACTAATAGTCTGCACTGATAGGCGGCACTCAAAGGAGCATTGATGGGCACTGAGGAGCGGCATTGATAGGGCCACACTAATAATCAGGCCACTGATGATCAGTGACCCGATTATCAGTGTAGATGTCCCCTCTGAGGATTGCTGCTTATCAGGTCTCCTCATGCGCATGAGGAAAGGACTGCCGATAACCGGCATTTCCTGTTTACATCAGCTGTGACTGGCTGATCCCATGGTAAAGAGCCTACAACATCGGCTCTTTACCACGATCGGTGATCCGGGCATGTGCAGCTAGAGTGGGAGGACGTTATATGATGTCCTCCCAGAAAAAGAGAGCTCCCGCCAATCCGTCATTTCCCAATAAGGCAGGCAGGAGGCGGTTAAAGCCCAACTGAACTTTCAATTTAAATTAGTCAAATACATTCCAGAAGCATCAAATCAAAAGATGTTTAATGTCTTATGGTTCATTTTCTGTAGAAAGCAACCATGACCTGAACAGAAAAGTCTGCCCAATGTCTACATGCTACAGAGGCTCTCTATGGGGAAGCAGTGATCTCTGACAATTGTAAGTCTTTTAGTTATGCTCCTCCTCAGGGAAACTGCAGAACAGCCACCTACCTCCATCACAGACACTCTGCACTGCTGCATCCAGAAACATGGCCGGGCTTCCATAGGGATCTAGATCTATGACGTCAAAGCGATCTTGTATCCCCATCCTATTGTACATCAACATCCTGCAGATTTGGGAGCAGAGAGTATTGGCTTCCTAATTACAATTCCCAATAATTATACATTTAATACTTCTGTATGCCCAAAAATATTTCACCTTTGTCAGTAAAGCTAGGCAGTCAATGAATTACAACCGTTGCGTTGCTGCCCCTATTGCTCATCTATACCATCTCATCTCTCCAGTATAAATCGGCATCCATGAACGGGCAACAGAAAAATGTCTTGCACACTAAAGGGCCATTCACACTTTTGCCTTTCTGGTGAATTGTGTTAACGTGCTGCACCCAGGTCTTCCAGCAAGCAGCTTTCTCTGGGGGTACTGCTCGAGGGGGAGGAACCAGAGCACCGGCAAAAAGAAGAGGATCGGGGCAGCTGTGTGCAAAACTACTGCACAGAGCAGGTAAGTATCACGTTTGTTATTAAAAAAAAAACAAAACATGCTTTAGTATCACTTTAACCCCTTGGTGCCAGCGCCTCCAGGCCCTTTAAAGGGTTTCAGAAGCCGGGAGGTGGAGTAGGGTTTTAGGGTCATGTGACCAGCACGATTCGCCATCACGGCAGTCACATGATCAGGAAAGGTCCTGATCCAAAGAGATCGGGACCTTTCCGTGAGTACCGGACATGTAATCTGGGAGCGCGCAGGACACGCGCTCTCAGCACATATGTTTTTCTTAATTGCACGCAAATGTGCGGCCGCTCGGCATCAAGACCAAGACGCTGGGGGGGCCGCACATTTGCGCCCGGCCAGCGCCAAGAGGTTGAAGAGTGCATTCTCTGCAGTAAGGTAAAATATGTCCCAATACTTGTATCGACCCCTCACACCCCCCCCCCCCGTATACTTACCTGGGCTCGATCTCAATCCAGCGCCGTGTTCATCTCCAACAGCTCTCTCCTCTCTCTCTGCTCACAAAGGCAGCAGTGGGAGCCATTGGCTCCCGCTGCTGTCAATCAAATTCTCTGAGCAGAGAGCAAGGCTAACACTGTGTCTGTCAACAGAGGCACACAGCCCAACTCTGGAGAGATCTCGCAGGTGCACCCCCATAGGAAGAGCACCGAGAAAAGGAGGTGCCCAGAGCACTAGTGGGGGGACCGGAGAAGAGGAGGTTCATTAAAGAAAAAAAAAAAAACTTTATATATGCTTTAATAAAGTCCCTGAGAAGTACATGATTAATGCAGTTCATCAGGAAAATATTCATTGGGTGTGACAAAGTTGGATACAGTGAAGAAAGCCATTTTGTTATCTCAGCCTATTAAATTCTTAGGAAGCCGTGTTATCCCCACAGCACAAAGCACTGATGTCTCCAGTTCCTAGGCTGCGTGCTTATTAATGTCAGTGCAGCCCATAAGATTGATATCAGCTACACAGTACTATTTATTGCCACCTACCTGGCATCACTGTAGCTGGCCGTCACCAGGTTCTCTACATGATTGTACTTTATATTCCGTTTGATCAGCTCTACAGCACTTGATGAGAAGTCGTTGGCAATGATACTTTGAAGGCCGGGAACTTCTTTGGCAAAGCGAATTGAACGCAAACCTGAGGCTGCAAGGCCCTCCAGCACGCGGAGGCCTTCCTGGAAGAGGGAATATGATCAGTTATTGAGGGACAAACCAGTTCGGACATGCAAAATTGTTCTGGAACCACAGTCTCAGTGCTGCATACCTTATACACAGACAGGGTCCAGGTGCAGGATGAAGACGTATGCTGAACAATACAGCTTAATTAGTGCAATGGCTTAGTTTCTAGGGTAATGGGGGTTTTAGGTTAAGATTTTAGGGGGTTAAGGAGATACCATCACCTGTTCCTGGAGGGCAAGGTTACAGTGCCTCCTGATAATCCGTTCCCACCAGCAAGGCATACTCAGCCCCCCCCACCAACAAGCAAAACTCACCCATCCAAGCTCCTTCACTGCCTCCCTGCTGCAAGAGTCCACACTTCCTAATCTTTCGAGTCAATTGGTGTCAGAGCTTGGCTGGGTGAAGGATGTCAATTAACCACTTCCTGCCGGGCACTTATACCCCCTTCCTGCCCAGGCCAATTTTCAGCTTTCAGCACTGTTGCGCTTTGAATGACAATTGCACGGTCATGCAACACTGTACCCATATGAAATTTGTATCATTTTTTTTTTTCACACAAATAGAGCTTTCTTTTGGTGGTATGTATTCGCCACTTGGTGTTTTATTTTTTGCGCTATAAACAAAAAAAAAAAAGAGCAAAAGTTTAAAAAAAAAATAAAAAATTTTCTTGGTTTCTTTTGTAAAATTTTGCAAACAGGTTAATTTTTCTCCTTCACTGATGTGCATTGATGAGGCTGCACTGATAGGCAGCACTGAGAGGCGGCATTGATGAGCTGGCACTGATATGCAACAATGATGGAAACTGATGGGTGGCATTGACTGGGCAGCACTGATGGGCACATGTGGGTGGCACTGATGGGCACCGATCATTAGGGCACTGATCATCAGGGCATGGATGATTGGTGCCGATCCCTCCTCTGGCAAATGCTGGTTATCGGCAATATTTTTCCTTACGCTGTGACAGCATGAGGAAAATGCAGCCGATGACTGGCAACTGCATTTACCGGTGATCTGCTGTGTCATTGGACACGGCTGATCACATGGTAAAAGGCCGCTGTGATTGGCCTTTTACCACCTCACGTGATCAGCTGTGTCCGTAGGACACAGCGATCAGGGAGGGCCCTGGGGGCACGCAGGAGAGCGCATTTTGGGAGGACGTCGTATGACGTCCTCCCAGAAATGGCCGTCCACAGTGAAGCTGTCATTCAGCTATCTGCTGTCGGCAAGTGGTTAAACCCTTACATATATCCAGAAAAATTACTGGCCTCAGGTGATACACAGAGATGAAACAAATCCTCCTACATAAGTTTATCTGCAGTCTGCTCTTCTCTACATCTACATAGTTTGTCTGAGCTGAAATTACACAATGTAGAGGTCAGTGAGGAGAGCTCAGAGAGCTGACTGGAGGAAAGGAACCCCCCCCCTTAAGCACAGCACACATGAACAGAGCTGAGGCAGTCACTCTGCTGACGGTCCCTCCCCTGTCACCTTTTAATCTTTTGGTGTCAGGAAAACTTGTCAGCGACTCATGCAGATAGCAGAGGAATGAAGCAGCAGACAGAAATGATACTTAGAGCACTGGATTTATACAAGTAGTCACTATAGAGGGATATGTTTTGTTCATATTTCATTTATGAGGTTTACAACCACTTTAAAGTAACTAAAGGATAAACTATTTCTCAGATCTGGATAGAGTAGTAAGGGGTTAGAAACACTTTCAGGGTTTTATTGATGTCTGTGTCTCCATAACTGGGATTCACCATAATCTCAGTTCTCAATCCTCCTAGATTGTAAACTCCAAGGATCAGGCCCTCCTAACCCTCTTGTATTGTTGCTGTATTGTCTCCTGTTATATTGTAAAGGTAAAGGTCTGAGCAAACTGTTGGCGCTATATAAATCCTGTATAATAATTGTCCAGATCACCAATGTCACCGGGAATGAAAGTGAGGGGAAACACTTGACCATCACACTGCCTTCCTGTTCTGGCTGTCCAGCCAAGGACCAAGAGATTGTTAAAGAGAAAAAAAATTTGACTCTGATGGAAAACATGCTTTACAATATGCGTTGTAAGCATAAAAAAATATACACAAAGTGAATTTTAATGGTATATTTTGGGGCCCATCAAACCCCAACTGTCAGTAGATGGCTCCTACTGACACTCAGTGAAGTAGGAAGTGCAGCATAGCACTTCATTCAAGTCCACCTATAAAAAAAAAAAAAAAAAAAAAAAAAAAAGACTCCAATAGGGCTGCCAAAGGGAAAACATATTAATCAGCAGATCTACAGTGCTGCTGCGCTAATACATTATACAATTTTCTTGAGATTTTTGGTTTAGATTTACCAAAAACCATATAATAGGAGGTCAAACCTAACAACACTTTCAATTGTATCCAATTAGGACGGCTCTTGCACTACATAGTTGAAGGTAAATATAAAGGAAATTGGGCAGAAATCGGACAGAAAATTGTATAGTGTATGCCCAGAGTCCCACCTTTATTTAACAAGATTTCATCAAGCGTTTACAATGCTGCCCCGCAATAATGCAAAGGGAAATAAAAAAGAGAGCGCACCAACCTTGCGCATTACCTCAGTAATCCATAATTTTATTAAATTCAGAATGACACTCACAAACAACGAAGTCATTCAAGCATGTAAGTCCTCAAAGGAACTTTAGAAATGTGAAGCCTGTGCGAGTCACATCATAGGGGTAGACACTCAGATTATTTCTGACGCGTTTCGAAGGGCATCCCTTCATCAGAGCTCTGATTTACTTTGTTGTTTGTGAGTATCATTCTGCATTTAATAAAATTATGGTGTACTGAGGTAATGCACAAGGTTGGTGCACTTTCTTTCTTGTTTCACTTTGCAGTACTGGTCGGGCTTCCCTAGCCTTGTTTAGAGCTGCACAACCCTATATGCATTGAAGGTCGAATTTTTCAAGTTCTGGCTCCATCCATCCACCCTTATTCTGGGTCATAGAGCGCAGGAGAGGTCATTTCTGGCCCCGCAATAATGTTCATGACAAGGAAATTCCATTACTCCCAACAGAAAGACTGTGGGAATGCCAGTTCTTGCATAAGTCCCTGTGACGGGAGTGACTTTTGGGTTTCGGGGGACCTCTGTATCATCTCCCCAAATCATTATGTTTAACCCACCCTGTGCCTGTTAAGGGTTACAGGGTGTGTATGTGAATGTCTGAGTCCTGTGTATAGTGTGTGTTACTTTGTCTAGGCCACATGGCTGACCATTGTCTGTTTACCATGTGCTACCCCCCATGGTGCTGTGTCTTCCTGTGCAGCAAACTATTATGGGATGTATGGTTTGTGTATTGGTGTGGGGGTTGGTCAATGTCCTTTGCCACATGGTTGCATCCCATTGTTCTGTGTCTGGTTGGATGGGGAGGGGTGATGAGGTGTTTCCTGCCTATACTGTAGCCCTTCCCACTGAGAGGGTGGGCTGATGATGTATTTCTTGTTCCTGGTTGTGTTTCCCCGCCCTCTGTATATATTCTGTGTTTTGTGTAAAATAAAGAGGAGTTGGCTTCCTGTTTTAGTAGGAGCTGGGTATTGTCTATTTTCCTGAGCGATTCCAAGGGTGTGGTCCGTGGATGGTGTTCGGACAGGGGAAGTTGTGCTATAACGGAAAAAACTCAGTGCGGTCTGGGTTCCGGTTCCGTTACAGTCCCTCCATGATTTAATGGAGAAATTGATCTTTGGTACAATAGTTCTTTGATTAATTCATTCTAAGTGCAGCTCACCTGCTCTAATAATTACCTTCCTCCCTTATCCAGTGATCTTCACTATACAGACGAAGGCTGGCCAAAAATTATACAATTTTCTTGAGAATTTTGCTTTAGATTTACCAAAAACCATATAATATGAGGTCAATCCTAAACAACACTTTCAGTTGTATCCAATTAGGCCGGCTCTTGCACTACATAGTTGAAGGAAAATCTAAAACAAATTGCACAGAAAATTGTATGGTCAGCCTTATGCCCAGAGTCCCACATATATTTAACAAGATCTCATCAAGCGTTTACAATGCTGCCCCACAATAATGTTCATGACAAGGAAATTGCATTACTCCCAACAGAGAGACAGTGGGAATGCCAGTTCTTGCATATGTCCCTCCATGATTTAATGGAGAAATTGATCTTTGGTACAATGGTCCTTTGATTCATTCTAAGTGCAGCTCACCTGCTCTAATAATTACCTTCCTCCCTTATCCAGTGATCTTCGCTATACAGACAAAGACTGGCCAAACATTATACAATTTTCTTGAGAATTTTGCTTTAGATTTACCAAAAACCATATAATAATAGGAGGTCAAACCTAACAACACTTTTAATTGTATCCAATTAGGCCGGCTCTAGCACTACATAGTTGAAGGAAAATCTAAAACAAATTGGACAGAAAATTTTATAGTGTATGGCCAGCCTTATAGTCATATTGGAAATTTGCACACCTGCCATCCACAAACCAATGAAAATGTTGCTGAGATTCAATAGTTTGGGGATGGTGGGATTGGTGGAACTCTGAGTCACAGAAGTCAAAGCCTCTGTTCAGGAAGAACCTGGGTTATTGGTACGCAGGAAAGGACATGGGACGTAATAAAAGTGTTTGAGGGTAACGTAACAGGTTTGTTTAAACAAACAAAACTGTCTTTTTTTTTTTTTCTCTCTCCTGTGCTCTTTATTCTCAATTCCTTTTTTTCCCCTTCTCCTGATTTGGTTTGTATACTTTTGGTGAATTTCTATGGCAATGCCTATGTTCATTGATTGATGGAACGTTTGTTGCCTGGTGGAGATGGTGCTCTCTGTATATATTGCCATTGACTAATAATATATTTTTTTTCATGTTCTCGATTGTTCTATGCATATGATTAGGCACTCCATTTCCCCTTGCAGGTGGAAACTATAGATTTTAATAATTATATAAATGTCTTTTTGATGTCTATTAGATAATATATGTTTTAATAAAAGGAGTTATTTAGGATAGTTATATATGGGAGGACTTTCGGAATGTTAGTATATAGTAATATATGTGAAAACGTCTGATGCTGTTAATAAAGGTAGTTAGAAGATGGTTAAAAGTGAGGACATATGATAATAGAAATTAAGAAAGACTGATAATATTGCTGAGTAGTGGAGCTGAATAAAGGATATTGTTTCATATAAATTGTTTTTATATAGATTAGAAGGAGTCAGATGTAGTATAGTATGTGGTAGTAGTGGTATTAAATTAAGAAATTTTGTATCGTATTCTGTATGTTTGCCCATTTTTGCGATTATATGTGGGCATTCTTCCATGAACTAAGATGGCGCGAATGACTTCCTGTCCGCATATGCAGATCAATATAAAAAGAACGGTCGCCTAGACGTCAGAATCCCTTTGATGACAAAGTCCAGGAAGTGACGAAACGCGTCGGGACACGTGACGTATGACGCAATTACGTTTGTACCAGAAGTACGAGTGCGGCCATCTTTGATTAAGGAAAATGCGATTTTCTCCAGGGAAGTGCTTGTTACACAAGCTGAAAGTTGGAGTTTTCTATGTAAGTGGATAAAATAAAGTATTGTATCTTTACCACTCAGCCTCTAACTGCCTATTTTACCTTATGAGGGATGTGGAGATATGCCTAAAGAAAGTGGATATATGTTTAAAGGAAGTTTGAAAAATTTGGAGGTGCAGCCATCCACCACTTTGTAAAGCGGATTATTACCTCTATAGGGTAATTGTTCATTTGTTGCACTAGGTTAGAGTGGCCACTTTTGCACTAATTGTTTGGATTCACACTTGTTTTTTGGTTGCAGTGTGTTGAGTTCACTGTCACAATTAATGAGATATAGTTTACATGCATTTTGGGTTATTTTGTTGGTGCACATCTAGAGTGTGTATATGTGTATATATATATATATATGTATGTATATATATATATATATATATATATATATATATATATATATATATATATATATATATATGTATGTACAGTAGGGATCGAAAGTTTGGGCACCCCAGCTAAAAATTTGTATTAATGTGCATAAAGAAGCCAAGGAAAGATGGAAAAATCTCCAAAAGGCATCAAATTACAGATTAGACATTCTTATAATATGTCAACAAAAGTTAGATTTTAATTCCATCATTTACACTTTCAAAATAACAGAAAACAAAAAAATGGCATCTGCAAAAGTTTGGGCACCCTGCAGAATTTATAGCATGCACTGCCCCCTTTGCCAAGCTGAGACCTGCCAGTGTCATGGATTGTTCTCAATCATCGTCTGGGAAGACCAGGTGATGTCAATCTCAAAGGTTTTAAATGCCCAGACTCATCTGACCTTGCCCCAACAATCAGCACCATGGGTTCCTCTAAGCAGTTGTCTAGAAAACTGAAACTGAAAATAATTGACGCTCACAAAGCTGGAGAAGGCTATAAGAAGATAGCAAAGCGTTTTCAGATGTCAATATCCTCTGTTCGGAATGTAATTAAGAAATGGCAGTCATCAGGAACAGTGGAAGTTAAAGCAAGATCTGGAAGACCAAGAAAAATATCAGACAGAACAGCTCGCAGGATTGTGAGAAAAACAATTCAAAACCCACGTTTGACTGCACGATCCCTCCAGAAAGATCTGGCAGACACTGGAGTTGTGGTACACTATTCCACTATAAAGAGATACTTGTACAAATATGGTCTTCATGGAAGAGTCATCAGAAGAAAACCTCTTCTACGTCCTCACCACAAAAATCATCGTTTGAACTTTGCAAATGAACATATAGACAAGCCTGATGCATTTTGGAAACAAGTTCTGTGGACCGATGAGGTTAAAATTGAACTTTTTGGCCGGAATGAGCAAAGGTATGTTTGGAGAAGAAGGGGCACAGAATTTAATGAAAAGAACCTCTGTCCAACTGTTAAGCATGGGGTTGGATCAATCATGCTTTGGGGTTGTGTTGCAGCCAGTGGCACAGGGAACATCTCCCGAGTAGAAGGAAAAATGGATTCAATAAAATTTCAGCAAATTTTGGATGGTAACTTGATGCCATCTGTGAAAAAGCTGAAGTTAAAGAGAGGATGGCTTCTACAAATGGATAATTATCCTAAACACACCTCGAAATCCACTGGGGATTACATCAAGAGGCGTAAACTGAAGGTTTTGCCATGGCCTTCACAATCTCCTGACCTCAACATAATTGAAAATCTATCTATGGATAGACCTTAAAAGAGCAGTGTGTGACAGACAGCCCAGAAATCTCAAAGAACTGGAAGACTTTTGTAAGGAAGAATGGGCAAAGATACCTCAAACAAGAATTGAAAGACTCTTGGCTGGCTACAAAAAGCGTTTACAAGCTGTGATACTTGCCAAAGGGGGCAGTACAAGATATTAACTCTGCAGGGTGCCCAAACTTTTGCAGACGCCATTTTTTTGTTTTCTGTCATTTTGAAAGTGTAAATGATGGAAATAAAATCTAACTTTTGTTGACATATTATAAGAATGTCTAATCTGTAATTTGATGCTTTTTGGAGATTTTTCCATCTTTCCTTGGCTTCTTTATGCACATTAATACAAATTTTTAGCTGGGGTGCCCAAACTTTCGATCCCCACTGTATGTATGTATGTATGTATGTATGTATGTATATATATATATATATATATATATATATATATATATATATATATATATATATATATATATATATATATATACACAGTTGCAAGAAAAAGTATGTGAACCCCTTGGGATTACATGGAGTTTTGCATGAATTGGGCATAAAATGTGCTCTGAACGTCATCTAAGTCACAACAATAGAAGAACACAGTCTGCTGAACATAATACTACACAAACATTAGATGTTGCCATGGTTTAATTGCACATAACATGTAAACATTCACAGTGCAGGGAGGAAAAAGTATGTGAACCTTTGGACTTAATAACTGGTTCACCCTCCTTTGGCAGCAATAACCTCAACCAAACGTTTCCTGTAGTTGCAGATCAGACCTGCACAACGATCTGGAGTCATTTTGGACCACTCCTCTTCACAAAACTGTTTCAGTGTAGCAATATTCTTGGGATGTCTGGTGTGAATCGCTCTCTTAAGGTCATGCCACAGCATTTCAATCGGGTTGAGGTCAGGACTCTGACTGGGCCACTCCAGAAGGCGTATTCTGTGCTGTTGCAGCCATTGTTTTGTTGAATTACTTGTATGCTTTGGGTCATTGTCCTGTTGCATCACCCATCCTCTGCGGAGCTTCAGTTGGTGGACAGATGGTCGTACGTTTTCCTGCAAAATGTCTTGATAAACTCTGGAATTCATTTTCCCATCAATGACAACATTCTGTCCAGGCCCTGAGGCAGCAAAGCAGCCTCAAACCATGATGCTCCCTCCGCCATGTTTTACAGTGGGGATGAGGTTTTGATGTTGGTGTGCTGTGCCTTTTTTTCTCCACACGTAGTGTTGTGTGTTCTTCCCAAACAACTAAATCTTGGTTTCATCTGTCCACAGTATATTTTGCCAGTAGTGCTGCGGAACATCCAGGTGCTCTTTTGCAAACTTCAAACGTGCTGCAATCTTCTTTTTGGACAACAATGGCTTCCTTTGTGGTGTCCTCCCATGTACTTCATTCTTGTTTAATGTTTTCCTTATTGTAAATGTGTCAACAAAAATGTTAGCATGCGCCAGAGATTTCTGTAGGTCTTTAGCTGACACTCTGGGATTCTTCTTTTCCTCATGCAGCATTCTGCACTGTGCTCTTGCAGCCATTTTTACAGGACGACCACGCCTAGGGAGAGTAGCAACAGTGCTAAACTTTCTCCATTTGTAGACAGTCTGTCTTACCGTGGCCACATGAACATCAAGGCTTTTGGAGATACTTTTGTAACCTTTTCCAGCTTCATGCAAGTCAACAATTCTTGATCGTAGGTCTTCTGAGAGCTCTTTTCTGCAAGGCATGGTTCACATCAGACAGTGCTTCTTGAAACCAGTAAACCCAAAACAGGTGTGTGTTTTTTAAGGGCAGGACAGCCGTCAGCAACACATCCAATATCATCACACTGATTGGAGTCAAGGTTGGCTCACTCCTGGCTCCAATTAGCTCTGGGAGAAGTCATTAAGCTAGGGCCTCACATACTTTTTCCTCCCTGCACTGTGAATGTTTACATGTTATGTGCAATTAAACCATGGCAACATCTAATGTTTGTGTAGTATTATGTTCGGCAGACTGTGTTCTTCTATTGTTGTGACTTAGATGACGTTCAGAGCACATTTTATGCCCAATTCATGCAAAACTCCACGTAATCCCAAGGGGTTCACATACTTTTTCTTGCAACTGTATATATATATATATATAAAACAATTTTTTTTTTCTTTTTCTCACGTTTTGAACACCTTTTATGGAGTGTGCATGACACATATTGCACAATTATATGTAATTAAGGTAATACACTATTTGCGGTTTATATTTTTTTTTAGGTTTTCTGCATTGGATCATCGTATTTGAAATTCCATCTAGAATATCACAAGAAGAAGTTATAAAAGAGGAGAAAAAGTGATCTGACTTGGCTTAAAAGACAATTTTTTGGACACTATAGTTTATTTTATTTTCTCATCTAATTTGAGTGTTATTACACGTTTGTATATTTGATTTTATTTACATATATTTATTTGAGAAAGGGGATTATAGGGATAAATGAAAAGAACAATTTGTTTGGAAACGGTTACTATTTCTTTGTATACCACTGTATGACAATTTTTCAATAAAAAAATTGAAGTATAAACAAAACTTACGGAACAAGATTCCCCAACAGTGACAGTGCGGCGACTGGAAGGGGCAGCATTCTCTAGGGAAGGTTTATCACCATCATCCCCATTATCTGAAAGATTCACAACCAACTTCTTGTTCTCCCTCTCACCTGGCACCAGGACTGCAAGACAAAAGCATAAAAATGAAAGGAAAGGGCATAGTAGCACAAAGTGTATCGTGGGCAATAATTTTAAATACTCACTGTCGATGCCTTTTTCGGCAAGCTGCATGCGAACAAATTCCGTAAGCACAGTACACCTGTGGGAGGAAGCAGAGCAAGTACAATAATATCAGTAAAAAGTGCAAACGGAGAATAATATAAAATGACACACAAGCAGGTTAACTTCAGTGAATCCAGAGATCACATAATATAGGCAGCAGAACTTACATGGCAAGCTCAGCTCTTCTTGTAAAGTCAGTGCTTATCATCACCTATTCAGCCATCCTTCTGATCCATGAGGCCATATGTCTCATTAAAGGATCAATGAGAAGGCTTATAAAGTGGTAAAGGGTGGGATCGAAGATGACTTTTACAGGATAAGTCTTGATTTGCATGTAAGTTTATTTGCCTGTATCATCGGAGCTACCTGCTGCATGTATGATGTAGAGCAGGGGAGTCCAAATTATCGCCCTCCACCAGCTGAAGTACTACAAGTCCCATCATGCCTCTGCCTCTGGGTGTCTTGCCTTTGGATGTCAGAGTCTTGCAAAGCCTCATGGGACTTGCAGTTCCTCAACACCTAGAGGGTCATAGTTTGGACACCCCTGATGTAGAGGCACAAAGAGGTGCACATCACTGCAGCAGCCTATTAAACCCTCATCATTTGTTGTATTTTTTCCACATTATAGTCTCTTTAACCATTTGAGGATCTTAGGCATGCTTTGTACACCAAAAACCAAAATCAAAGAACTCAGGACATAGGTAGAATACTCCTGCCATCCTGATGCTTTTACTGCCAATTCAAATCTATCAAAAACAGAGCCTCTAAGGCAGCTTTTCTCAACCTTTCTTACTCCAGAGGAACCTTTAAAACAGATTTCAGGTCTCAGGGAACCCCTGCTAAAACCAATTCATCAGAGATCGCTGGGAAAAATGCCTCATATTGTTGGGTGGTGGGAAGAATACAACCCTTACAATGTTGGTCAGAATGCAACTCTTGTAAGTAAATAAAAAAAGATCACTGGTGCCATGCCTCTGGCTCTGCCAAGTGGCATTGGTTGGCCCTAGAGTTATGCAGGCACCATCAAATGGGAGGTCAATCAGACATAGCTCCAAGAAATTCCTGGGACACCTATGGAGGAACCCTAGGGATCCACAGAACCTTCAAAGTCAAAAAAACCTCCTCCGTGTCCGTTATCATGCATAAACTTGATCCATCTCCAAAAACCAATTCTTATGTGTCCATATGTACCTCAAAAAAAGCAAAATAACTGCCTATAGTGTATTACCCTCAATTATAACAAAATCAATATCAATGTGTCAAAAATGATAAAACTCATAAAAATCACCCGGTGTCCACTAAATATGGCTGAATAAAATAAACTTTAGCTTTATATCTCACTCCCCATAAGGATCCACTCCTGGCCGATCCTACGGACTCATCATCATCATATAAGGGATACCTCCAAAAAAACCGTATCATAGTGTGTCATCCTTTAGACATGTGATCAGTGCTCCCCTCTTCAACACCACTTAGTGAAAAGCAAAATCACTCTCCACCACCTTCTAAACCAAGCACCTTACCGGACTACAGATGTCCAATAGTATGAATAGATGCAGGATGGCTCCTCTTTACTCCATACTGATCCAATCTCCAATCCATTTTCCCTTGTATGTTGATGCTCCTTGCTCCTGAGAGCAATTTCAGCCATATTTAGTGGACACCGGGTGATTTTGATGAGTTTTCATTTTTGATCATAAGTGCACATTGATATTGATTTTGTTATAATTGAGGGTAATGCACTATATGCAGTTATTTTGCTTTTTTTTGAGGTACACATGGAAACATAAGAATTGGTTTTTAGAGATGGATCTAGGGGATTTATGTTATTTCACGTTAATAAATTTTATGGTTTACCGATTTTTGATATTTATCCACAGAACCTTGGCTGAGAGTGATTGAGGGTTCTTCACAGTGAGAGCTGTGAAAATGTGGAATAGACTCCCTCAAGAGTTGGTTCTGGCCAGCTCAGTGGATTGCTTCAGAAAAGTTCTGGATTCTTTCTTGGATACAGAGAATATAACTGGATATAACATTTATAGGTAAAGTTGATCCAGGGAATATCCGATTGCCTCTCGGGGGATCAGGAGGGAATTTTATTTCTCAGCAGGAGCTTTGCTCGGTTTTTTTTGTCTTCCTCTGAATCAACTGTGGGTATAGGATTATAACTTTTTTTTTTCCTATGGTTGAACGGGATGGACTTTTTCCAGCCAGACTAACTATGTAAATGATTGCTATAAGGTCTCTTGTACACAGGCATACCAATATAAACACTCACTGATATTTTTAATCAGAATCTTACTGGTATAAAAATCCAGAGTAAAAAACAAAAAACCCACAAGTTATGTTCCATATAGACCTTGCATATAGGTGCGTAAATGTGCATATGCGTACAACTCTTCTACATCCTCTTCCAGCTGTCAGTGTTGCAATGTATACCTGTACATGCATATATACTTGCATATACAGACATAAATTACAGTACAAATAATTTAGGCATAAAACTATAACAAAAAGAAAGCCTTGTTGGTCCCCATGCGTATACATGTATAAAACTCTTCTACATCCTCTTCCAGCTGTCAGTGTTGCAATGTATGCCTGTACATGTATATATTTGCATGTACGCACAAATTGCAGTACAAATAATTTAGGCATAATACTATAACAAAAAGAAAGCCTCGTTGGTCCCCGTGCGCATACATATGTAAAACTCTTCTACATCCTCTTCCAGCTGTCAGTGCTGCAATTTATGCGCATACGCTCATATATACTTGCATATACACACGTAAATTACTGTAAGAAAGCCTTGTTGGTCCACACCCCCACAAAAAAAATTGTTTACGTATTACTTCATAGTGCAATAAACAGGCCCATAGCAGAAATGCAAACAAACTTGCTCTGATCCATAAGAGGTATACATGTACAATAACTGAAGTGGATAAAGAAGATTTTGGCTTTTAATAGTCCGTGCCATGTATGTAACGTTTATATTGCTGTTTGAGGTCCTTCATTTGTTATTATACGCTTACATCATATTTTCCATGACTTCATAGAATGTAAGCTTTGCAGTATAGGATAACTCCTTCCTCCCTGCGTACTGTATACACAGTTTTTCTTTTTACAACTTACGTCAGGTCTCTGTTGAACTCCTGGACGGGGTTGTAGAACACTTGGTTGGCACTGGGGTAGATGACACTGGCTTTCCCCTCGGCAATTATGGTTTCTCCCGACTCCTGAGATGCTGCCGGACCCTCCATCCTGAACCTGCAGGAAATCCTTGTCAATTTTCTGAATCCGGAACACAGAGCGGGAGAGTGTCCAGAGAGGAGCTGAAGGATGGCAGCACGCATCACACACCTGAGAGAGCAGTACAATTATAAGACCTAAACTGTGGTAAGCAACATGAGGTCTCCAGGACTTCTCCAGAGCTTCTCACATCCTCTACAACTCTTTAACTCAATCTAATCGGTTATCTCCTACTCTGGCTACCTTTAGGCGATCTCTAAAAGATCCTCCTAGATTGTAAGCTCCGAGGAGCTGGGCCCTCCTAACCCTCTTGTATTGAACTGTATTGTTGCTGTATTGTCTCCCGTTATATTGTAAAGTGCTGAGCAAACTGTTGGCGCTATATAAATCCTGTATAATAATAATAATAACTAGAAAATCTACAATTTCTGGGGAAATTGTGTGAAGTGTTCTTGGCTCCACCAGTAGTCTACAACTGGAGTGGGCGGAGTAACTGGGTGGAGTGGCTGGAGCAACTGTTGTGTGGTTGGAGTGGCTGGAGCAACTGTTGTGTGGTTGGAGTGGCTGGAGCAACTGTTGTGTGGTTGGAGTGGCTGGAGCAACTGTTGTGTGGTTGGAGTGGCTGGAGCAACTGTTGTGTGGTTGGAGTGGCTGGAGCAACTGTTGTGTGGTTGGAGTGGCTGGAGCAACTGTTGTGTGGTTGGAGTGGCTGGAGCAACTGTTGTGTGGTTGGAGTGGCTGGAGCAACTGTTGTGTGGTTGGAGTGGCTGGAGCAACTGTTGTGTGGTTGGAGTGGCTGGAGCAACTGTTGTGTGGTTGGAGTGGCTGGAGTAACTGCTGTGTGGCTGGAGTAACTGCTGTGTGGCTGGAGTAACTGTTGTGTGGCTGGAGTGGCTGGAGTAACTGTTGTGTGGCTGGAGTAACTGTTGCGTGGCTGGAGTGGCTGGAGCAACTGTTGCGTGGCTGGAGTGGCTGGAGCAACTGTTGCGTGGCTGGAGTGGCTGGAGCAACTGTTGCGTGGTTGGAGTGGCTGGAGCAACTGTTGCGTGGCTGGAGCAACTGTTGCGTGGCTGGAGTGGCTGGAGCAACTGTTGCGTGGCTGGAGTGGCTGGAGCAACTGTTGCGTGGTTGGAGTGGCTGGAGCAACTGTTGCGTGGTTGGAGTGGCTGGAGCAACTGTTGCGTGGTTGGAGTGGCTGGAGCAACTGTTGCGTGGTTGGAGTGGCTGGAGTAACTGCTGTGTGGCTGGAGTAACTGCTGTGTGGCTGGAGTAACTGCTGTGTGGCTGGAGTGGCTGGAGTAACTGCTGTGTGGCTGGAGTGGCTGGAGTAACTGTTGCGTGGCTGGAGCAACTGTTGCGTGGCTGGAGCAACTGTTGCGTGGCTGGAGCAACTGTTGCGTGGCTGGAGCAACTGTTGCGTGGCTGGAGTGGCTGGAGCAACTGTTGCGTGGCTGGAGTGGCTGGAGCAACTGTTGCGTGGTTGGAGTGGCTGGAGCAACTGTTGCGTGGTTGGAGTGGCTGGAGCAACTGTTGCGTGGTTGGAGTGGCTGGAGCAACTGTTGCGTGGTTGGAGTGGCTGGAGCAACTGTTGCGTGGTTGGAGTGGCTGGAGCAACTGTTGCGTGGTTGGAGTGGCTGGAGCAACTGTTGCGTGGTTGGAGCAACTGTTGCGTGGCTGGAGCAACTGTTGCGTGGCTGGAGCAACTGTTGCGTGGCTGGAGCAACTGTTGCGTGGCTGGAGCAACTGTTGCGTGGCTGGAGCAACTGTTGCGTGGCTGGAGCAACTGTTGCGTGGCTGGAGCAACTGTTGCGTGGCTGGAGCAACTGTTGCGTGGCTGGAGTGGCTGGAGTAACTGTTGTGTGGCTGGAGTAACTGTTGTGTGGCTGGAGTAACTGTTGTGTGGCTGGAGTAACTGTTGTGTGGCTGGAGTAACTGTTGTGTGGCTGGAGTAACTGTTGTGTGGCTGGAGTAACTGTTGTGTGGCTGGAGTAACTGTTGTGTGGCTGGAGTAACTGTTGTGTGGCTGGAGTAACTGTTGTGTGGCTGGAGCAACTGTTGTGTGGCTGGAGCAACTGTTGTGTGGCTGGAGCAACTGTTGTGTGGCTGGAGTAACTGTTGCGTGGCTGGAGTAACTGTTGCGTGGCTGGAGTGGCTGGAGTAACTGTTGCGTGGCTGGAGTGGCTGGAGTAACTGTTGCGTGGTTGGAGTGGCTGGAGTAACTGTTGCGTGGTTGGAGTGGCTGGAGTAACTGTTGCGTGGTTGGAGTGGCTGGAGTAACTGTTGTGTGGGTGGAGTGGCTGGAGTAACTGTTGTGTGGTTGGAGTGGCTGGAGTAACTGTTGTGTGGTTGGAGTGGCTGGAGTAACTGTTGTGTGGTTGGAGTGGCTGGAGTAACTGTTGCGTGGTTGGAGTGGCTGGAGTAACTGTTGCGTGGTTGGAGTGGCTGGAGTAACTGTGAAAAGGTTGGAGTGGGCAGAGTAACTTTATGGAGTGCGCAGAGTAACTGTGTGGAGTGTTTGGAGTAAAGATAGTAAACATTACACTAACCAATTGATTGATCAAATTTAAAAAGTGCACATGGCAAGCTTGATAGAGCGAGAAATGCATTTCAACGTTTAATTATTTATATAGCACATTTAATTGCAATGTTGTTGCCCAAAGTGCTTCACAGGTACATTAAAACATACATTTATAAAAAGAACTGTTGCGTGGCTGGAGCAACTGTTGCGTGGCTGGAGCAACTGTTGCGTGGCTGGAGCAACTGTTGCGTGGCTGGAGCAACTGTTGCGTGGCTGGAGCAACTGTTGCGTGGCTGGAGCAACTGTTGCGTGGCTGGAGCAACTGTTGCGTGGCTGGAGCAACTGTTGCGTGGCTGGAGCAACTGTTGCGTGGCTGGAGTGGCTGGAGTAACTGTTGTGTGGCTGGAGTAACTGTTGTGTGTGGCTGGAGTAACTGTTGTGTGGCTGGAGTAACTGTTGTGTGGCTGGAGTAACTGTTGTGTGGCTGGAGTAACTGTTGCGTGGCTGGAGTAACTGTTGTGTGGCTGGAGTAACTGTTGCGTGGCTGGAGTAACTGTTGCGTGGCTGGAGTGGCTGGAGTAACTGTTGCGTGGCTGGAGTGGCTGGAGTAACTGTTGCGTGGCTGGAGTGGCTGGAGTAACTGTTGCGTGGTTGGAGAGGCTGGAGTAACTGTTGCGTGGTTGGAGTGGCTGGAGTAACTGTTGTGTGGGTGGAGTGGCTGGAGTAACTGTTGTGTGGCTGGAGTAACTGTTGCGTGGCTGGAGTGGCTGGAGTAACTGTTGCGTGGCTGGAGTGGCTGGAGTAACTGTTGCGTGGTTGGAGTGGCTGGAGTAACTGTTGCGTGGTTGGAGTGGCTGGAGTAACTGTTGTGTGGTTGGAGTGGCTGGAGTAACTGTTGCGTGGTTGGAGTGGCTGGAGTAACTGTTGCGTGGTTGGAGTGGCTGGAGTAACTGTTGCGTGGTTGGAGTGGCTGGAGTAACTGTTGTGTGGGTGGAGTGGCTGGAGTAACTGTTGCGTGGTTGGAGTGGCTGGAGTAACTGTTGCGTGGTTGGAGTGGCTGGAGTAACTGTGAAAAGGTTGGAGTGGGCAGAGTAACTTTATGGAGTGCGCAGAGTAACTGTGTGGAGTGTTTGGAGTAAAGATAGTAAACATTACACTAACCAATTGATTGATCAAATTTAAAAAGTGCACATGGCAAGCTTGATAGAGCGAGAAATGCATTTCAACGTTTAATTATTTATATAGCACATTTAATTGCAATGTTGTTGCCCAAAGTGCTTCACAGTACATTAAAACATACATTTATAAAAAGAACTGTTGCGTGGCTGGAGCAACTGTTGCGTGGCTGGAGCAACTGTTGCGTGGCTGGAGCAACTGTTGCGTGGCTGGAGCAACTGTTGCGTGGCTGGAGCAACTTTTGCGTGGCTGGAGCAACTGTTGCGTGGCTGGAGCAACTGTTGCGTGGCTGGAGCAACTGTTGCGTGGCTGGAGCAACTGTTGCGTGGCTGGAGTAACTGTTGCGTGGCTGGAGTAACTGTTGCGTGGCTGGAGTAACTGTTGTGTGGCTGGAGTAACTGTTGTGTGGCTGGAGTAACTGTTGTGTGGCTGGAGTAACTGTTGTGTGGCTGGAGTAACTGTTGTGTGGCTGGAGTAACTGTTGCGTGGCTGGAGTAACTGTTGCGTGGCTGGAGTGGCTGGAGTAACTGTTGCGTGGCTGGAGTGGCTGGAGTAACTGTTGCGTGGCTGGAGTGGCTGGAGTAACTGTTGCGTGGTTGGAGTGGCTGGAGTAACTGTTGCGTGGTTGGAGTGGCTGGAGTAACTGTTGTGTGGGTGGAGTGGCTGGAGTAACTGTTGTGTGGCTGGAGTAACTGTTGCGTGGCTGGAGTGGCTGGAGTAACTGTTGCGTGGCTGGAGTGGCTGGAGTAACTGTTGCGTGGTTGGAGTGGCTGGAGTAACTGTTGCGTGGTTGGAGTGGCTGGAGTAACTGTTGCGTGGTTGGAGTGGCTGGAGTAACTGTTGCGTGGTTGGAGTGGCTGGAGTAACTGTTGCGTGGTTGGAGTGGCTGGAGTAACTGTTGCGTGGTTGGAGTGGCTGGAGTAACTGTTGCGTGGTTGGAGTGGCTGGAGTAACTGTTGTGTGGGTGGAGTGGCTGGAGTAACTGTTGCGTGGTTGGAGTGGCTGGAGTAACTGTTGCGTGGTTGGAGTGGCTGGAGTAACTGTGAAAAGGTTGGAGTGGGCAGAGTAACTTTATGGAGTGCGCAGAGTAACTGTGTGGAGTGTTTGGAGTAAAGATAGTAAACATTACACTAACCAATTGATTGATCAAATTTAAAAAGTGCACATGGCAAGCTTGATAGAGCGAGAAATGCATTTCAACGTTTAATTATTTATGTAGCACATTTAATTGCAATGTTGTTGCCCAAAGTGCTTCACAGGTACATTAAAACATACATTTTATAAAAACATTAGCAGCATTATCACCTCAAATATGCTCTACTGTAGAAAACTTATTTCCAAACCTTTAACCAGAAGCCGGCCAAACTGTCACCAATTCAAAATTAGATTTCAAATAGGGCAGAGAAGAGC